GAATGGAGGGAACTCCCATTCACTAGAACAACCTGCCGGATCTCAGATGCACTCTTCCCTCCTCCTGTGCCTCCTGCTCACCCAGCTCCAATCGGGCACGCACCAAATCCCAGGCTCAAATCAGATTAGCCCAGAATGCTGTTAGAAACAGGTCAACCGGCCTAAAGTCTCATTTAAAAATACACCAAAACAGAGCAGAGAATAATTTTAGAGACTTTCTATAAAAATAAAAGCAGAGAATGCTTTTTTTTCCCCACTTGCTCCAATAGAATAGCTCTGATCTGGGTCATGATTTATGCCAAATTCATCACAGACACATGAAACTGAAAAGGCACTAGTCAGCATCCACAGCAGATGATCTTCTGCAGCACACGCTTTTAGTGTGTAAAAATTACCATTTTTTATAGTGACCCGCAGACACTTTTAAAGCACTTTGGTAAAGTAAAAGGGAAATAAATTACCCACAAGGTAGGCTGTGGAATAGAGGAGAAATAACTACTCCTGGAGACAGGGGTTTCTCAATCTGCCAGAGGATGGTTGTGTACCTTGAATATATCATCTCCTGACTCAAGCTTTCCAATCTCTAACGGTGGGTATAATAGAAATAGAAATAGAAAAAAAAATAGAAATAGAAATAGAAATAGAAATAGAATAGAATAGAATAGAATAGAATAGAATAGAAATAGGACCACCAGTTACCACCATCATCTACCTCCCAAAGTTGCTGGGAGAGTCAAATGAGCTAACACTTAGCAAAGTACGCCTTACAGCAGATACTGGGGACAGCAGGGAAGAACAAAGAAACAAAAACGGATGTGAGTGTTTTTGTGGAGGAGTAAAGACCACTCAGTAGACAAGCACTGCACCCAAGCCCTGCCTTCTAGACCCCATTCTGCTACTGTGGGGCTTTACCAGGAGACACAACCCGCTAAACTTCAAAAGTAATGGAACTAATTCTTACAAGGCAACTCCATGGAGAATATTCCTGATAGAGCAGCAGCAAGGACATTTTAATGATCCCTCCTGGAGACATCCTTTTCCCACGTCCCTTTTCGACACCAATCTTGGCATTAAATTTGGTCAATTCTTCCTCTCAAATAATATTAATAGCAGCTACACTGAGGATTTGTGTCTATGCCTTTCAGCCACAGTTTTAAACATAGGCTTTACATACGGCCTCACAGACAAAGCTATAAAGCAAGGTATGATTACAGTCATAATACGTCTATGACAACAGAGGTTCTAAACATTAACTTGGCCAAGTCATTCGGTAGGTAATAGGCAAGAGTATGTTTGAACCAAAGTCCTTTGAAATGAAATCCATGAAATGGATCCTGCCTCTGTTTTCCCCATTACCTTTGCCTTGTGCTAAGTTAGTCCATTATTACCTCCTTCTGGACCTCTACCTCCCTAATACGTCTCCTACCAGCCACTATCAGATTCTTTTCCCAAAACTCAATTCCCCTTCCACCCTGGCTCACAACCCCTAGCAGGTATATAACAGAAAGCAGGGGCTCTCAATAAATGCTTGCCAAATGAGTGAAACCTTTGCTCATGCTGATTTAGGTTCCTTTTCTCTACAAAACTCCCCAGCCTGCCAGTCAGGGTCCTCTAGCTCTGGCTCTCTGACCTTCGCAGACTTATTCCATGAATACCCACCTCATGGGTCCCCCATGAACCACTATCTCCGCCACTCCCTGGGCATGCTATTCCCCATGGCTAGAACACCCTTCCCTCAGCTCCCCCTGGTCATCCTGCCATTGACACCCTTTCTAAGTTGAATGAATGGACAAGTGACTCCTCCCAAATGTAAGCCATCACTCTCTTCTGAGTGAGTTCAAGCCCAAGACTCAGTATCCTTCTTGAAGCTTCAGACCAGGGCAGGTATTTATGAAGTACCCACACCAGGTTTTTGGGCATATTCTGTTGTGGCATATGGCAGTTACCTGTATTTCTGGTCTGCCCAGGAAGTTAAGTAGGCCTTTGTCTCAAGTCCCAGCTAAACAAGACCTTCCATCTTGTATTTATAAGGCTACAACCCAGGCTTTGCTTTAGAGAGTTACAAATGCAAAATGTGGTATGCTGTTTTGCTCGGACACAGGAGGTAAAGTGGAAAACTTCCCAGTCCAATGGCATGAAAAAAGGGACCCCAGGCTGGAAGGTCCTCCTTTCTCTCCCACTCCTGCACTGGACCCCGACTCTGAATCTAAATCACTCTATTCTTGGGTGCCTGGGTGGCTCAGTTGGTTAAGCGTCTGACTTCGACTCAGGTCATGATCTCACGGTTTGTGAGTTCGAACCCCACGTCAGGCTCTATGCTGACAGCTCAGAGTCTGGAGCCTGCTTCAAATTCTGTGTCTCCCTCTCTCTCTGCCCTTCCTCTGCTGGTGCTCTCTCTCTCAAAAATAAATATTAAAAAAATTTTTTTAAATAAATAAAAAATAAATCACTCTACTCTTCCGAATGAAAGAGTATACCTAGGGGATAATTTTTTCTGCGAGGATGTTATTTTATAGAAGACCTGTCCTGAAGTCATCTGTTTCGGTTAATGCCTTGCATTAGTTAAGCTACTAAATAGGATTCCTTTTCTCTCTCTATCTCTCTCTCTTTCTCCCACTGTTGTTGTTTTATATCTTCAATTATGAAGACACCTGCCTAAGATCTGGTGCTCATGCAATGCGCTGGCCCCAGCAGGAAAAAATGTGTCTCGTATTTTTCCTTTATGTGACAAAGCACCTAATGGACACTTTGAGACCATTATGAAATCTAGTAACTAGATGAAAAAATTTAAATAATGAGGTGGTGGGAAAAAACCAACACTCCATGATGTCACCTGTGAAATTCAATATAATATTCTTTAAGGAACCTAATGAGTTTTGTTTTGTTTTGTTTTGTTTTGGTTTGGTTTGTTTTTTGAAAGGGGCACTGCTGGTCTGCTCTGATCTCCTGTTGAGACTTTTGGGAATTTCTTCTTCCAAAGTAATAAGTATTGATGAAGGTCAAGGGACAAGCAAGGCTAACACCCTCAGATTACAGCAGGATTTAAATTCTTCAGACGCCTCCTTCCAGAGTAATAATGATGCTGGAGTTCAAAATCTTAGAATGCATTGGAAGCAAAATGCCATTTGACCTGATTGTTTGAATGAAGACTTTAAAAAATATGGCTTTCCCTTGTAAACTAAGTGCGAGGAAGCTGCGCTATGAAATCTAGAGGAAGCAAAATAAAGCAACATATGGAAAGAGATTATAGGATTAACTAATTACATGATATGCCTTAATAACACATGGATGCTTCACAATCTTTTTGAAGATGTCACTATAAATTCATATGAAATAACTGAATTCTATTCCTTTTGCATAAAAAGCAAAGAAGCTAAGACTAAAAACGCTAGTAGGTATTTGTTTATTCAATAATATTTACACCAACGCTACAAATAAGTGAAAAGGTATCTACTAAGAATAGTGAACTTGTATCCAATATTAATAAATAAACTGTTTATTTTCTACTTCTGTCTTTTGGATTTCCAGATTTAGTCTCTTAAGCAGGGACATAAATAGTAAGTAGTATTTGTTTAGGATTCTCTTCAATGACGATAGGGCCCAAAGTGATTTGTTTCATTGAATTAAAACTTAAACTAACAAAAAATTAAGAACTACACTTCGAACTGTTTCAGTTGCTTAATCTAAGATAAATAAATGAAAATTTTTTCTTTTTTTTATTTTAAAGAATTTTAGTGTTTGTATTTATCTTTGAGAGAGCGAGCGAGCATGAGCGGGGGAGGGGCAGAGAGAGAGGGAGACACAGAATCCGAAGCAGGCTCCAGGCTCCGAGCTGTCAGCACAGAGCCCGACGCGGGGCTGGAACTTGTGAACTGAGAGATCATGACCTGACCTGAAGTCGGATGCTTAACCAACTGAGCCACCCAGGTGCCCCAATCCAAAACAATTCCAATATAAATGGGTCTTAATGAAAATCTACCAATGCCCATAATACAAACAAGTGTTAAAGTCCACTAAATACATTCTCTTTCCCTCTCACCCTCTCTCCATCTTTCTGTCTCTGTCTCTCTCTCACACACACACACACACACACACACACACACACACACACACAATTCTCTTATGAACAACAGCTAACCAGTTAAGGAAGATGATAATGATTACCACAAATTTTTAATTTGTATATTGTGGTAATAATAGTGTTCAAATCTTCTTAGTTTAAAAAACAAGCCTAGAAGAGATCTAATATTAAGTCAGTAAGTATTTAGACTGCCAAACCCTAAGAGCACATACTTCCCACAGACCATTTAAATCTTCATAATCTCATTCCTGAAAACACATACCCGCAGATTTCTGAGTACAGGGAGTAGGACAAACACAGCGGTCCTCGCGAAGTGTGAGGCACCATGCCATCAAGGCTCCAACAAGGAGCCATCCCTCCTTTCCTCACACGTAAGGTCTTGGAACTGAAGCAAACAGTCACTCAGGCAAACACACTGGGTCAGGCCTGTCTTTGTCCTAAGCAATGCGAAATTGCACTTTGTGGTGGGTGGAGGAGAGGCCAATTTGTAAGTGCAGGTCTAGCCACCAGAGGTAATTATTAACTTATTTGATGTCAAAGAATTTGCATTTTTACCCTCATTTTTACCTGCAGTTTGCACTTGAGAGTAAGTCATTGCTCTAACCAGGAAGGGAAAAAAAAAAAAAAAAAAAAGAGGGAGGGAAGAAAGATCAAGACTTGGAAAACCAACTTAGCAACACAGTTTGATTTCATTTCTTATAATCACATTCCTGACAGTCTATTTAAGCTGGTGCAAGTTTTCTTAACTTCTGTCTCAATACTTTCTGCTCCTGTGCAGTCCAATCACTTTGAATCTCATGCTTTAAAATGCTGAGTATATTACACACTTACTATATCGTTATTAACAAACAATATCGTGTGCGCACACGGCAGCGTGTCTGGGGACAAGTCCTCTCTGTTCTATGCAACGGGCACTCACCTTCGGGGAAATCATTGGGCTGCACCACGCGGAGGAAGATGTGCACGATTTGAAAGAGACCGCCAATGGGCCCAGCTTTGTAGGAGTCTTTGGTCTCATAGTTCGTGGCAGGCAATTCCAATTCCGAGACCTCCGTACCCTCTGTAGATGACCGTGATCCCAGGGAGAGGGTATTCCTGCAGAGCTCCAGCAGCAGCAGCAGGAAGCCGAGGAGGAGGGCCATCGCTAGCAAGGTCCCCCACGCATGAGGTGGAGCTGGTGGCCTCCTGTCTCAGAGGTTCTGGAAGCCTTGGGTGAGACAGGAGCCTGCGTTCCTTTTCCTGCGCGGAGAGCCCGGGGTGTGAGGAGTCCTCCCTTTCCTGGCTGGGCTGGCATGCAGTGAACCGCGTCCAAGGGCCTTCTGTGGGTGTGGGTCTGGCTCCGTGGCTCAAGGCACCATCCCTGGTGGGAGAGAAGGGCAGCAGTGACTTGGCATGCAGCCTGCCCGCCCCAGGACCTTCCCTGCAAAGCTTTAGAGCCAGCACTCCGCCTAATCCGCTGTGTGGGAGGCAAACACAGAGCCTGCTTAGAACTGCTGGGGCAAGAAAGCCAGAAGGTCCCTCCCCAGGGGCCAGACGCAGAACACAGACCTTTTATGGGTTCAAGAAACACCCTATGGTGTAGAGAAGGCTTAGAAACCGACACTTACCGGCCACTTACTATGTTCTGGACAATGTTCTACATGCTGTGCTGGCTGGACCCCATTTACAGATAAGGAAACAACCACAGAGAGGACTTCCCGGGGACTTGCCCAAGGTGACGGCTGTTTTAACGGTGGGGCCACGGTTCAAAACCAGGACATTGCCTTGAAAGCCCAAGCTCTGAGCAGGACACCAGGACACCTTTCCTAAAGAGCCCTGTGTCTCAGGGGTCCAGAGCCCTCCTGCCATAGACTGCTTTTCTCCAGGCTGCTGTTGCTGTCCGTACCTCTGGAGATTCATTTTCTCTGCCTTTTATTCTACTCATTTGCTCACTGACCTTATTTCAGGCATCCCCCTCTCCACTTCACCCTCAACCCAAACTAGAAGGCCTCAAGGGCAGGAACCAAACTCTCTAAGGCTGGATGACACTGGAATCTATCTTTCTAACACGTCCACTGGGTAATCGTGATGGAAACTTCTGCCGCCAAGTCACTACCTGGAAATTGGGGGTCCCAGTGATGAGAGACAGGGTACCCGCCCCAAGGGTCGGAGGGAGAAATGAACAGGAATTCTAGAAGCAGCTACCAAGCCAGTGTCTAGTGAGGGCACGAGACCTAGAAGGTCTCCAAAGTGGACCCTGTCCCTTTGTGTTTCTGTCCCCAACCGTGAACGGGGGACAGGGCACAGAGTCAGACGCAGTAAGTGCTGCACGATATAAATCAAAATGATGGTGTGGCTGGTGCCACTGCGAGGAACTAGGAGCACCAGAACAGAACCTACCAGAAGACCTGGGATGCTGTGCTCGTACTCTCTGAACTGGGGTCAGGAACGCCCTGATTGCGTACCATTTTGTACATTAGATACATGCTCAGTAACTTTCAGAGTAAGGGCAGGGTGCTCCTGAAACACCGTGAGAGGGTGGAAGGGGGGTCCAGACAGTGACGCGTTGCACAAGGGGCCGGAGGCCCCACTGCCTGCATTCCCCCAAGTCAAAGAAAGCTCCAAACAAAGGTGGGATTTCAGGAACTATCTGAGTGTTCCTGAAAGATGTTAATTCGAATTTAATCCCCTGGATGTTGCCTCATCTTCTAAGCCCCGTTCCACTCAAGTTACTTCTGCACAGAGCTCCCAACAGAATGACCCCGAACACTCTCTCTATCTAATCACGGGCTGCTCAGCCCCTCTGGCTCCCGGCACCAACCGGGTTAACCCCGTATGGGCTTCCGCGTCCACGCTCCATCGCACCCACGGGTACACCAGGACCCTGGTGACTTTGCACTGGCCCTTCCAGGCCTGGCTGCTGCAGGCGCCCCGTCCTCGGCGCTGCAGGCTCTAGCCTTTCACTGGTCCTGACTGGAAGCCACCCGCGTGTACGCTCAAACACGGGCCTGTTCTGCGCCACCTTCCCATCGTCTCCAGAGAGGACAGATGAGAAAGACACGAAGCAAGCTGGCCTCTGAAGGTCACTCTGGGCGGGTCTCCGGGGCCACCCCGCGCGGGAGAGAGAGGGGAGAGGAGACGGTGTGTGTTATTCAGGCTGGCCGCCGTCCTTTAGACCAGCGGGCAGGCATGCACACACACACACACACACACACACACACACTACACAAAACATCCACATAACACACACTAACACACAGATACACCACACACTGATACACTACACATTCACACACCACACACAAGCCTACCACACACACTAACACGCTCCATACATGCCCGAAACTTACATACACACAGCACACACACTCACCACACGCCCATCTTATCTTGTTTGCAGCTGAGGGAGGGGCAGGGAGCACAGCAGCTGGAAGGATTAGAGGCTCAGCGGGTAAGAAAAGCTGACTTCCTGGTGAGGCCACCACCGGGCCTCAGCCAGGGAAGGAGAGAGACGGCAGGAGGCCTGAGGGAGAGCTTGGAAGAAACAGTCTCAACCTTCCTCCTGAAAAAGTGGGGGAAGGCAAATCGCACATGAGAGGCGGCCCCACTCACTGCTGCGAGGCTGGAAGCACCAATCAAGCCAGCCAGGACCGCAGCTACCGTCCAGATTTCTTCACCCTTTGCTCCAAAGTGTCGTGCCATCCCCCTTAAGTGTGGGCTGAATGTGAGGAAAATACTAAAATCTCACGACTTAGGAAACCCCAGATAATTAATAAAAGTCAAGGCGAAAGGCATCTCGGCGGGGACCTCACCTGTTAAGCTCAGGGGGCAGCCAGGGCATCTCAGGGCAGCTCCTGGAACTGCCCGAACACACGGAGGCCAGCTCTCCCGGCCCCAGAGCAGCATCCCCATATAATGGGGTATTTATATAAAATGCTAATTATTGGGCACAGTGTCAGCAGCCATATCCAGGGCCTTGTGATGGCATCTGTGGCCACACACAGCAAGTGCATTAATCTGCACTTCTAACACTCTTCCCGGTGACTGATTCTCAGCACAACTGAAGTTTGAGAACCAGCACTGTTCCCGCGCGCTTCCTCACCTAACTCATGCCAGTTGGCAATGACGTCTTCCCCAAATGCCCTTCTTCTATTGCATTGAGCTGATCCATCCCAGCTGCTGTGTGGGGCCCCTGATTTACTCGTCTCTGTACCTCGGAGTCGGGCACACAGTAGGCACTCAGTAAGGATTGCTGAAATCCAGTGGTGAGGGGTAGAGGGAGAACTGACATGACACGGTCATTTTTACCTATTTCAAAATTGTATCAAGTGTTTATCAGTGGTCCCAAAGCCTCTGGAAGGGAGGTGTCGGGGTGTTTGTCGCTATTCCCACAATATATGCAGCAGATTGTCTCCTTGCTGGATTCACCCATCGCACAGCAACTGGTCTACCATCCTGGGGCAGTGCCTTCTGCTGGGACCCTCAACTTTGCAAGCCTTGGAAACTGTTCCCTCGGGGGCTACCTCCTCACACGGGCACTGGACCAATCAAGAAGTCGAATTCACCATTTTTCTGATTTATGGGGTGCAGATTCCTGGTGTCCATTGCAAATCCACTGAGTTCAAACTGGAAAGGGGGCCCAAGAATGTGAAGTTGGAGCAAATATTTCACATGATTGTGAGCTTGGAGCCCGGAGGATGGAACTTCCACAAAGACTGTTTGAAAAACAAATATGGTGACCATCCACCTTCATTTCTTCTTCTTTTGATGGAGTTTCCTTCAAAAGGAGCTTTGTAGTAGGAACTGGTCATCTGGGATTTGGGGGAGGGATGAGCTGCTCAACTTCAGACTCCGCCTTTGTGAGTCCTGTGGGCAACAACCCTGGGTTTCATGGTGAGGTCAGTGGAGGTGCCCAAATTGTGCCCTGGGGGGTGCCTCAGACTCACCAAGCAGATGCTTACTCCTGGGCTTGTGCCTGGAGCGCACACTCACGCAGGGGCAGTTTCTAATTCATTCTAGACACGATGGCACAGTGTCAGCAGCCATATCCAGGGCCTTGTGGTGGCATCCGTGGCCACACAGCAATCAGGGGTCCTGTTGTATGTCCCGCATGAGCTCCTGAGCCCGGCTAGCCAGCCTCCTTGTCACTTCTCTAAGCTACCCAGTCCTCAGTCCCATTTCTGCTAAAATTACCGAGAGTGGGCTTCCGTCACTTGCAACAAAGCATCCTGCCCCTTAACATATCTGAGGTAGCTCTTGGTCCCCTGCAAAACCTTCATATTTTAAATGGTACCAATAAAATAATATTTGGTTTAAAGCCTTATTATTTTGATACACTTGCCCTTTGATACACTTGTTTGCTTCACGGTGCTGGGAATGCACAGAAATAGTCCACGGCAGAAATCATAAAGAAGTTCATTTAAAAAAAATTATGGGGCATATCAAGAAAACAAAACAAAACTAAAGGTCATTGCTGAAGTGACAACAGGCCTCACTTGAGACAGGGCAGGAGTCTCTAGTTCCCCTCACTAACCTTGCCATGAGAAGTTGCTTACCTTCTCAGTGCTTTGCTTTGCTCATCTGTAAAGTGGGGTTTTGAATGGTGTTGGAGGGTGAGACCCCGAATGCACACAGCTGCTAGTCAATGAAAGGTCTCTACTGCCATTGCCAGGATCAATCCCACAAACCCCACCGCGGCCCGGGGCTCACCCTGATTGACAGGACAGCTCCGAGGATACTCTCAAAAGAGTGAGAAAGTCTTTGAGCCACAAAAACGGCTCCATTTCGCAAGGTTCAACCTGACATGTAAAAGCAGATGCCTGAGTCTCCAGTGGGGCGTTCAAGGACCCCAATCATTCACCTGCGTGTCTTCACAAAGGTCAGCCGCAGCCCACAGGCGGCCTGGAAAGCCTCTCGGGATCCGGGAGCCCGGGCGGGAGAAGGGTCAGCGAGCCGCCTGGGGCTAAGGCTCAACCTGTTGCTGCAGGAAGCCTGGGGCGCCGGCCCCCCCCCAGTCTAGCTCTCCAACCCACCGCCAGGCCGGGCCCCCTCCTGCCCTCTCTTCCTCCGCCGCAGGAGGCTCTCCCGGGCTGCGGGACACAAAAGAATGGGCTGCAGGGCTGGCGCGGGAAGCGAGGAGACTCAAGGAATCCGCCGCCGCTTG